AGGAGCAGGAAAGCTGACGTTTCGGGTCTGGACCCTTCTTCAGAAATGGGGTAGGGGAAGGGGGTTCTGAAATAAATAGAGAGGGGGAGGCGGATAGAAGATGGATAAAGGAGAAGATAGGTGGAGAGGAGACAGACAGGTCAAAGAGGCGGGGATGGAGCCAGTAAAGGTGAATGTAGGTAGGGAGTTGGGATGGGGGTTGGTCAGTTGGGAGGGAGGGGCGCATGGGTGGGAGGGAAGACGGACAGGTCAAGGAGGCGGGGATGAGGCTGGTAGGTAGGAAGTGGGGGTGGGGGTTGGTCAGTGAGGTGGGAGGAGCGTATGGGTGGGAGAAAAGGCAGACAGGTCAAGGAGGTGGGGACGAGCAGGGCTGGTCTTGGGATGAGGTTGGGGGTGGGGAGATTTTGAAGCTTGCGAAGTCCACATTGATACCATTGGGCTGCAGGGTTCCCAAGCAGAATATGAGGTGGTGTTCCTCCAGCCTTCGGGTGGCATGGTTGTGGCACTGGATGAGGCCTAGGATGGACATGTCGTCCAAGGAATGGGAGGGGGAGTTGAAGTGGTTCACGACTGGGAGGTGTAGTCGTTTGTCACGACCAAGCGTAGGTGCTCCACAAAGTGGTCTCCAAGCCTCCGCTTGGTTTCCCCGATGTAGAGGAGGCCATGTCGGGAACAGCGGATCCAATATATAACATTAGCAGATGTGCAGTTTTTGTGGGGGCCTGGGATGGGGGGGGGAGGCAGTGGGGAGTGTAGGGGCAGGTGTACTTCCTGCGGTTGCAGGGAAAAGTGCCAAGGGTCGTGAGGCCAGTGGGGAGTGTGGAGTGGACGATGGAGTCACGGAGAGAGCAGTGCATGGGGAGGGAAAAATGTCTTTGGTAGTGGGGTCAGATTGCAGGTGGTGGAAGTGGCGGAGGATGATGTGTTGAATCTGGAGTTTGGTGGGGTGATATGTGAGGACGAGGGGAATTCTGTCTTTGTTGTTATTGCGGGGAGGGGGTGTGAGGGATGAGTTTCGGGAAATGCAAGAGATGTGGTCGAGGGCGTTTTCCACCACTGTGGAGGGAAAATTGCGGTCCTTGAAAAACGAGGACATCTGGGATGTCTGGGAGTGGAATGCTTCATCTTGGGAGCAGATGCGGCGGAGGCGAAGGAATTGGGAATAGGGGATGGCATTCTTGCAGGATGGTGCGTGAAAGGAGGTGTATTCTAGGTAGCTGTTGGAGTTGGTAGGCTTGAAATAGATATCAGTTTCCAGGTGGTTGCCAGAGATGGAAACAGAGAGGTCCAGGAAAGAGAGAGAGGTATCAGAGATGGTCTGGGTGAACTTAAGGTTGGGGTGGAACGTGTTAGTAAAGTGGATGAACTGTTCGAGCTCCTCATGGGAGCTCGAGTGGGCGCCGACACAGTCATCGATATAACAAAGGAAGAGGTGGGGGAATGGGGCCTGTGTAGCTGCGGAACAGGGTCTGTTCCACGTATCCTACAAAGAGGCAGGCATAGCTTGGGCCCATGTGGGTACCCATGGACACCCCCTTTGTCTGTAGGAAGTGGGAGGAGTTGAAGGAGAAGTTGTTGAGGGTGAGGACGAGTTCGGCTAAGCAGGTAAGGCTGTCGGTGGAGGGGGACTGGTCGGGCCTGCAGGAGAGGAAGCGGAGGGCTTTTAGGCCATCTGCATGGGGAATGCAAGTATATAGGCACTGGACATCCATGGTGAAGAAGAGGTGTTGAGGACCAGGGAATTGGAAGTTTTGGAGGAGGTGGAGGGCATGGGTCGTGTCATGGATGAAGGTGGGGAGTTCCTGGACCGGGGGGGAGAAAATGGAGTCAAGATAAGTGGTGATAAGTTCGGTGAGGCAGGAACAGGCAGAGACAATGGGTCGACCAGGGCAGTCGGGTTTATAGATTTTGGGAAGGAGATAGAAATGGGCCGTGTGGGGTTGGGGAACAATGGAGGTTGGAAGCTGTGGGTGGAAGGTCACCTGAGATGATGAGGTTGTGGATGGTTTGGGAGATGATGTTTTGGTTGTCGGAGGTGGGGTCATGATCCCACCCAAGTGACCAACCCTCATCCCAACTCCCTACCTACATTCACCTTTACTGGCTCCATCCCCACCTCCTTGACCTGTCCGTCTTCTCTCCACCTATCTGCTCCTCTATCCACCTTCCATCATCGCCTCCCCCTCTCTCTATTTATTTCAGAGTCCCCTTCCCCTCCTCCATTTCTGAAGAAGGATCCAGACCCGAAACATCAGCTTTCCTGCTCTTCTGATGCTGCCTGGCCTGCTGTGTTCATCCAGCTCTACACCTTGTTATCTAAAACAGATTGACTGACCTGGACATGGATTCTTTATGCAGCAACAACAGACATGCAAGGAGGACCTGAAAAGGCTGCTTTCCCAAGGTCTCTCACTCTTACACCTGCATGCTGCTGTAGAATCTGAGAGGCTGGAGAAAGATATCTTTCCCAAGAATGCAAGACAGGGAGCAGCTTCACAAATCAAACTTGCATGCATGAGGCCAAGGAGGTCAGCAGCAAGTATAAGGTGTCGGCCTATATGTGAAGATAGTACATCATCAAGAATCAAAGAACTTTTGAAGGCAGGAATGGTGAGAATTATAACACTTTCAGGTGCTGTCCTACAGTCTTAACTTCCACGGCAGTAGAGCTGGCCGCTCCAGGCCCCTCCTCATATTTCCAACTAAACAAGCAACACTCACATATACCATCTTACACCCTCTCCCTACAACAGCCCTGCAGAAATCAAGAGATATAAGAATTTGGAGATGTGGGATGAGATGAGGAGGGAGGTGGTGTATGAAAATGTAGCACACATTCAAGGTACACCCTCTGTACAATTCAATTTTCATGGTCACTAGTCAAAAGTCACATGACACCAGGTTACAGTCCAACAGGTTTATTTAAAATCACAAGCTTTCAGAGCAGTGCTTCTTCATTAGGTGAAATGACCAGACCCGAAACGTCAGCTTTCCTCCTCCTCTGATGCTGCTTGGCCTGCTGTGTTCATCCAGCTCTACGCCTAGTTATCTTTGTAACCATATTGCTCTTTTTACATTGCTACTGGGTCAAAATCCTGGAACTCTGTTCCTAACAGTTTTGTGGGTGTACCTACACCTCAAGGAAGACAATGGTTCAAGAAAGCAGCTCAATTTCTCCAGGGCAAATAGGGATGGCAGATAAAAATCATGGCTGAGCCAGCAAAAACCTGATGCCCTGAACAAGCTTTTTTTAAAAAAATGATAAGAATAACGGATTGTCACGAAAATCCATCAGATCCACTCCTAGTTAAGTTACCAAGTTGTCCAAGAAAATCTACACGGCTCACAAATGTACTTCTGGACAGGAAATCTGCTGGGTATTGAGCTGGTGCTCCAAGCCAGTGACAGCTGAATCTAACTGAGCCTCTTAGACAATAACAGGCTCCCAGCCTCACCTGACCCCAATTGAAGCTGCACATTACTAATTCTACTTTTATTTCAAACATTATTAATATTCTGGCATGGCTTATAGGTGACTCCACATACTTGACTTTTAACTGCATTCTGAAATAGCCGAGTAAGGCACTCAGCTGTATCAAAGTTGTTACAGAGAAGTCATGGAAGAATAAAGCCTAGTGGACTAACTGCACTGAACTCCCTCCCTCAGAACATTATGGGTGGCTGTACTTACCCATGGCCTGCAGCGGATAAATAAGGTAGCTCATCATTACCTTTGAGGGAATTGAGGGACAGCCAATAAAGACTTGCCTTGCCAGCAATGTTTTCTCCCCACAAAGTAATTGAGAGCATGTTCTATTAAGTATGTTTCCACACCATTGGCCTTCTTTAAAGCTACATTCATTGCTATCCCTCTTCCCACAGATAAGTGAATCTTTATTTAGTTGACGGTTCTTCCTGATTTATTTTTTTCTCTTGATCAATCTGGATGTTTCACAGTTTTCCTGCACTATCCTTCTTAATAGCAATGGCCTCTTCAGTCACTATTCAATCATTTTCATGTTTCTTTTGGTGACTTCCCCGTACATTCAACAATTTTCTTCAGGTTACATACCTTCAGTGCACACAATGTTTATTCCTTGTGTGGTGAAATCACACAGGCAATGAAAATTTGCCTTCTTTCAGAGAATTCTGTTCAGCTTATTTTTCTGCACATTGCTAAAATGATTTCTATTACTTTATTTATTCCGTGTCAATAAAGTCATCATATTACCAGTGTGCAGCTTCCTCTGATCCTTATAGTACTCTCTATACAAAGCTAAGAACTCATTTGTACCGAGTGAAGGATAATTTACAAGAGTAGTCCTTGGCATAGAACACAAAATGCTAACTTCCCTTGCCAATTTGGAGACTGGAGCTCAGTTGCAACATGCAGGCAGGTTCTTTGCTTTCCAGTGTGAATCATGATGTAGAAATTATAGACTAAATGCTAATGAAATTATACACTATCAAAACAATAATGGATATGCAAGATATAGCTTTAAATGAATGCTTTAGTTCATCAGGAAACTCTTTGCATTAAACATAAGATTCTGTCTTCACATTTGTATCTTTATTAAGAGGGATTTTGGACTGGAACATAATCACCCTATTTTATAGGCAAAATTAAATTTTGGCAAAGGACAAAATTGGTGGTAATGGGTTGGCTGCCTAATGTTTACCAAATCCAAAATTTTTACTTAGTTTCAGGAACTGGGTACCCGAGCTTTATGAGTGTTTTGACCCACAAGCAAGCTTTGTAACACTATTTCCTTTCAGATTACTAGACTTTGTGAGGAATATATACAGAAGTAAATATTCCAAATCTTTATAAACCTATTTTCTAAGTATTTGTACTACCAGTTATTTTTTCTGCTTTGATGCAACAATTTTACTATTCTTTTTCTGTATAAATTGACATAATTTTGTTAAACTTTGATTATTATGAAGCCCTACAATTGTGCTGCTGGTAATTATCCAATTATTACTTGAGAAATGCCTACCTCCTCATGCAGTCCAATGCTCTGGTAAAATAGTCTGGGTGTAGACTATGTTCTTCTTGAAGAATCACACATTGTTCCAATGTGACTGACATGGATGTCCTGTCTTTGGCACTTTTACAACTTGTGAAGCGTATTCCGTTTAACCTTCGGCAAATCTAAACAGGATTTAAAACAACTTGAATTACTGAAACTGTTCCATGAATATTTCCATTGTCTTTGTCAAATGACAAATTATTGTTTGAATAAAATTGTAAGCAAGAGATGTCAGGAGTCCAAAATTAGAGACCATAAATATAAGACAATCAGCAATAAATCTAGTAACGCACTCAGGAAGAGTTTCATTTCCTTACTCAATGTGGTTAGAATATGAAACTTGCTACTGGGATAGCAAGCCAGACCAAATCAGACTTACTAACACTGAATTTGCAACACAGTGAAATTACAACATTTGATGACCTTCAAAATTGCCCAGTTGTTCCTAGTCAGACTTTAAGAATGGCAGATATCAGGCACCAAGTCTATAACTTAAACAGAAATTAACCATTAATTATTAATACTGGAAATTTAGTACAGCAAAGCTAAACAACAATCTAATGTCAATGATATAAACATAATCTTCTTTGATTGTAATCTCCATTCATACAAATATACAGACACATAGACAGATAGACATTAAGGGATAAATTTAAATGAAAATAGAAGAGTTGTAAATGGTTAGTTTGGTAACTGTTTGAACAATGATTATCATGCCTTTTGAAATTCCTTGAATAACGGTTGAATTAAAGGTTTGAATTCTGAAGTCACAGGTCAATACAAACAGCTTCCAGCACGGTCGAAGGAATATTCACTTATTTCCTATAAACTATGACTCTTCTCAGAAAATTCAATAATTCCTCAACTGAATGTAAAATAAGACAGAATAAAACTCAAACACAGCTTCCCAGTCCAGCAGCTTCTGAGTACACAGTCTTCTGTCCAAAAAAAAATCAGTCAAAACCAGTTCAATCTACGGTTTTTCTTTCTTTTTCATTCTCTGTGGGTGGCTGACCAGCACTTGCTTCTCTCTCATTGACCAATGCAACATTCAGCCAGCTGCCAGGTCTTGCGAATAGCACATGATGCTGAAACATCTGCAATGTTCTTAAGAACAATAATTAACCTGCAATTATCTTTCCAATCCAGTTCCCATAAAGAATCATCAGTTTGCTTGCTCTCTCCTCCATTCGAAAACAAGCCGTTGCTCAAAGGCCAAAGTTCAATTCACGACTCAAGCTTAAAAAAAAACAAATGAATGGGGATGCTGGAAATCAGAAATAAAACCAGAAATTGCCGTAAAAATGCAGTAGATCAGGCAGCATCTGTGGAGGGAAAGTAGAGTAAACATTTTGGGTCCATAGACCCTTCTTCAAAACTGATTTTAACTAGGAAAAGGTTGGTATATATGCTGAAGATGAGGTAGGCGTTTTGCGGGGATAAGTAAACGATAGGTAGGGCTGGAGCCCAGAGAAAGAAATACAGGCAGACAAAGCAATGGCTAAATGTCAGTCTGGAAGAATCAATAGCTCCAAATGGAAACCATTAGCTGACAAAATGTTGTTTGTGTTAGCAGCCCATCTGATGGCAAGACCTGGTGTGAGAGGATTCGGGCAATGATATGGAAAAGGTGCTCAGGCCCTAAAATTATTGAACTCAATATTGATTCCTAAAGACTGCAGGAGCCCCAAGTGGAAAACGAGATGCTGTTCTTCCAGCTTGTGCTGATCTTCACCTTCACTTGTAAGCCCAAGACAGAGATGTTGACCAGGAAAAACAGTGGTGTGTTGAAATGGCAGGCAACCAGAAGCTCAGGGTCATTTTTACAGACAGAACGTAGACATTATGCAAAGCGGTAATCCAGTCTGTGTTTTGTCTTCCCAGTTTACAGGACAGCAGTGAATAAAGTAGACTAGATTGAGTGAAGTGCAGGTAAATCATTGCTTCACCTGGAAGGTGTGTCTGGGATCCTGGATAATGAGGAGGGAGGAAGTAAAAGGGCAGGCATTACACCTTCTCTGATTGCATGGGAAGGTGCCATGTGTGTAGTATAAGAAGAAGTGAACCAAGATATTACAGAGCAAATAGTCCCTGCAGAAGACTGACAAGGGAGGGGGGTGCAATATGTGTCTGGTGGTGGCATCCCACTGGAGGTGGCGGAAATGGCGGCTAATGATTCTATGGATGTGGATGCTGGTGGGATGGTAGGTGAGGATCAGGGTGACTCTATCATTGTTGTGGGAGAGAAGACAAGGGGTGGGGGCTGAAATGAGGTAAATGGGTCGGACACGGCTGAGAGCCCTGTCAACCACAGTGGTGGGGAATCCTCAGTTGAGGAAGAAGGTGGACATTTCGAAGGTCCCCCAGTAGAAGCTGGCATCATCGAACAGATGTGATGGAGATGGAGAAACTGGAAGAATGGAAAAGAGTCTTTACAGAAAAGCAGGGTGTGAGGATGTACAGTCAAGGTAACTGAGAGTTGGTTGGTTTGTAGTGGATATTGGTGACTAGCTTATTCCCAGAAATAGAAACAGAGATATCGAGGAAGGAAAGGGACGAGTCAGAGATGGACCCAGTGAAGGCGAGAGCAGGTTGGAAATTGGCAGCAAAACTGATAAATTTTTCCAATTCTGGATGGTAGGGGAAGCAGCATTAAAGGTGTCATTGATATACCAGAGAAAGAGTTGTGGATGGAGGCCCGAGTACGTCTTGAACAAGGAATGTTCCATGTACCATCAAAGAGAATGGCATAACTGGGGCCCATGTGGGTACCCATGGCCACACAGTTGACCTGAAGAAAGTGGGAGAAGTTAAAGGAGAAGTTGTTTAAAGGGAGGGCAAGCTCAGCCAGGCGGAAGAGGTTGCTACTGGATGGGTATGGCTCAGGCCTTTTTTCCAGGAAGAAGCAGAGAACTCGGAGGCCATCCTGATGGGGGAATGGACATGTAAAGGGATTGTACGTCCACGGTGAAGAGGAGGTAGCTGGAACCCGCAAACTGGAAATTTTAAAGTGGATGTAAAGTGTCAGAAGAATCGCAGATGTAAGTGTGAAGGGACTGGACAAGAGGAGAAAAAAGTCAAGTTGAGGTAAGAAAAGAAGGGATCTTTTGGGGGAGGGGCAGGCAGAAACAATAGGTCTGCCTGGGCAGTCCTGTTGTGGATTGAGTTCATTAAGTTGAGAGCCTGCGTACATTCTCCCATGTCCTTACCCCAACCCCCAAAACACACCAGACCTTGTCATCACATGGACTGCTACCATAAACAACTCATTGCCAGCCACTAATGGTCTCCATTGGCATCTACTGAATCCCCCAGGCTGACCTGTACCCATTCTTTTGTCTTCCAAAGTTTTCTCTCTCCCTCTGGGCTCCAGCTCCACCCATTGTTTACTCCAACACCAACCCACCTTCAAGCATATATACCATATTTTTCTAGCTAAATTCAATTCTGGAGAAGTGTCACTGGACCTGAAATATTAACTCTGCTTTCTATCCACAGATGCTGCCAGACCTGCTGAGATGTTCCAGCATTTCTGTTTTTGTTTCTCAACTTAAGCCCACAGTTCCAAATGAAATAAGGAAAAATAAAGAAAAACAGTGATGGTCCCTATATATGGAGTAGCAAGTAGAATCAGTACATTGAATGCAAAGCTAGCTAAAGCATTAGCAGTGAAAGAATAAACAGAAGGACATGCAGAGAGCAATAGTGGGTTAGAGGAGGCAGAGGTGTTACCAAAGCACGAACACAGACTAGTAGGTCAGGTGGCCTGTTTCTGTGCTATATAATGTAATACTAAGAATAACTGTAATCCAGCTTCAAAAGCTGTACAATAATATTTGGGATACCATGAGACAAAATGTTTTAATATATTTATTTTTATCTGCGTAGAAGCAATATGCATGTTAATTTTAAATGAATTATTCGCAGACATGAATTTTTCATAAAAGTTTTAAGCACTTGTAGAAGCTATGTCCTGCAGCTTTGCTTCATCGTCAGGATCTTTTCCAGCCTTTTGTGAAACTGTTCCCAATTGTTTCATTATTATTAACTGGTGATGTTAAAACTATGAAAACTATGTGCTTTACTTGTTATTGTTATGTATATGTTCACAACTAAGCACAAGTGCCCTGTATCTGCCTTTAAGTTACTATGCAACTAGTCTCGCAAATCTGTTATATAGCTGGAAAAAGGCTGATCTTCAGCAATTCAATGAGAAAGAGGAGGACAGAAATCTGCTGATTCAAACAAGTACACACAGAGGAACAAGTTCTAGGAAATGATCGGTCTGGTTATTCTGGTAATTACTGGGGAAACAAAAGCCAGAACTGAAAGTGATGCTAGAATATGACAAGGGACCAAACTGAGATCTTGTGCATCAGTGTCCTACTCACAAGATTTATCTTATTTCTGGGAAATGATTCTGATCATGAAGATATGTAACAGATGGCATTATTCATTTGTCTGTAACAATGAAGTTGCAGCATTAAAAATGGCACAATTTAACTTTTCAAATATCTGTAAACAAATGTTTCAACATAAACATTTGAAGGGGGCATGTGACAGGAAATATTTTTGGATAGTGGTTTTTCACAAAGTGTCTGCAGGGATTGGAACAGGCCTGCAGCCACTTTGTGCTTCAAGGGGCACTAAGTGACTAGACGAAGAAAATCCCACCTCAGAGAGCCGGTGGTCAATCTGACCGGCTGGCTGATCGTTAGTCCTAGCAGTATGAGTGGCTGCAATGTCCAGCACTGGGACTACAAACAGAGCCCAGATTCTAAAGCTGGGACATTAGAGTTGCAGTGAACAAGTTTTATGGTGCCAGTTCCGCCATGGATGCAGAAGGAGTTATCTAATGTAATTGTTCATCTTATCTCATCATCTATGAAAGTGAGATGTTAGGCAGGTTACTCGTCGAATTTCACAATGAGACACAGGGCCCTGTCTCACCGCTGTCAGGATTTCAGCTTCTAATGCTCTGGTATCATTGTTAAAGACCAGCTGGACACCACTTCAGGTGCTATAAGCCAGGAACTACCTGTCATACTGTGGTGCTTGCCTCTAAACTCTCAACACATGGTACAGAAGAGAAGGAAGTCAGTTCTACCCTTTACAGAGAAAG